TATGTTGAGGGCCTGCGTTATTGAATTCAGTGGGAGCTGGGACTCCTACCTACCCCTTGCATAGTTCTCCTACAATAATAGTTATCACTCCAGCATAGGTGCTCCACCTTATGAGCCGTTGTATGGACGGAGATGCCGCACCCCAGTCTGTTGGGGCGAGGTTGGTCACAGGGTGATGGGTCGGACCGAGGTAGTCCTGCAGACTACCGAGATGAGACAACAGATAAGACAACGTTTGTAGACTGCTCAGAGTCGTTAGAAGAGCTACGCCGACAGGCGCCGATCTGAGTTAGAGTTTCAGGTTGGTAAAATGGTACTCCTTAAGGTCTCACCCTGGAAGGGTGTGATTCGCTTCAGGAAGAGGGTGAAATTAGGTCCCCAATACATCGGGCCATTCAGAATCATTGCCAGGGTTGGCAAGGTGGCGTATAGACTTGATCTTCCAGAGGAGCTTAGTCAGATCCACAACACCTTCCATGTTTCACAGCAACGAAAGTGCATATTATACGAGAAGGCAATGGTGTCATTGGATGATATACAGGTCGATGAGCGCCTGAATTACGTGGAGAGGCCATTGGCCGTTCTGGAGAGGAAAGCGAAGGTTCTACGTAACAAGGAAGTACCTTTGCTAAAGGTATAATGGGAGCATCAGAGGGGATCCGAGTGGCTTTGGGAGCCGGAGGCAGAGATGTCGAAGCATTATCCGGAGTTGTTCACCGCAACAGACTTTGAGGACGAAGTCTAGTTCAAGTGGGGGAGAATTGTAACATCCCGAATCCCAGGTATAAATTTTAAAGCTTTATATTTATATTTTTGTGGGAACTCGACGAGTTGGAGGCCTCAACTCAACGTGTCGACTCTGGTCAGCCCGTGTGGTTTATGGCATCTACTCGACGAGTTGGAGGACCCCAACTCGACGAGTATAGGCTGTTCATGGATACCCTAACTTCCAGGGTTTTGCACCCTATTTAAAGGCTTATTAGCCCCCTGCCTCTCTTATCGCCCCCTTGACCTCAGAAAACCCTAATCATGTTTTACTCCTCATTTAGTGTGTTTGAAAGCTTGGAAAGTGGTTTTAGTGAAAGAAACTTGAAGATTCATGAGCTCGTATCAAGGAGAAGCTTGTAGATACAGTACCTAAACCGTCTTGGCTTCCATTTGAAGGTAACAAGTTGTTACCTTGATCATTTTAGTGTTAGATCTCCTAATTCAAGGGTTTAGGCCATTGTTAGCATATTTTTGGGTCATTTCTGGTATTGAGCATGATCTAAAGTTGTAACTTCAGATCTGGACTCCTCTAAGCCCTCATAGTCATAAAGTTATCAAATTTATCAAGCTTTGGCCCTTCTCTTTGGCTTAAACGTCTTCCTTAGCTTGGTTTTGGCATTTAAGGCCTTGCATGCACGTAAAGTTAGCAACTTTACGCGATAACTACACCCTAGGAGCCTATATCCACAGTTTGAAACATTTGTTTCACTTAAAAGCATCTGAATGAGAAATTGACTGAAGGAACTTGAGGAGTTGCATAGTCAACTCGACGAGTTGGTTAGGTTTTACCCGTCTTTTGGACACAGTATGAACTCGATGAGTTGTTGGGAAACTCGGCAAGTTGGCTCGGGTTTTCGATCTCTAGGTTCTAAAGGAACTCGACGAGTTGCTAGATGCACTCGACGAGTTGGGTCAACAAGGACTGTTGTCTGGACTGTTGACTTTGACCAAGGTTAACCAAGTTTGACTCTAAGGGTATTATGGTAATTTGGGTCTTGATAGAAGTGGTCATATGATGATTGTAGGTGTTTGAGTTTGGAGTTGTGTTGGGGAGTTTGACATCATCATCCAGTGCTACTCGTGAGGTGGGTTTTCCTCGCTATACTCAAGGGTCTAAGGCACTAAGGCCAACCCTTTGGATTGATATCCTGTTTGTTTACTGTTATGATCTGTTAGATCGGTATCCTAGTAGATAGGATGTTTCTATGTGATTATGATCTGTTAGATCAGTATCCTGGTAGATAGGATGTTGTTATTCTTAGTGATCTGTAGATCAGCTTGACTGTTTGTAGAATGTTATGTGGTTATTTGATATGTGTGCACATGTTTGATTGGTGGTTGAGGCGTCTGCTTGTGCATGAGCCAACATACCTGGGCATTCCATGCCAATGGTTGTGGGCCGAGAGTATTCCATACCGAGGATGATTGGACTCTTAGTATGTGGGCATTCCAACCCAATGGTTATGGGCCGAGGGTATACCATCCCGAGGATGATTAGACCCATAGTATGTTGGCATTCCAACCTAATGGTTGAGGGTCTGGGGTATTCCAACCCGATGGTTGATTGGGCCCATAGTATGCTGTTATTGTATATGTGTTATATGTTGTGTGGGTATTTTGGGGGAACTCACTAATCTTCGGGCTTACAGTTGTTGATTTTTTTAGGTATATCAGATGATCGCAGGAAGGCAAAGGCGTGATCGTGCACCTCCTCATATTTTGTGATTTGATTTCTGGGATACTCTAACATGAAACTATTTTGAAAACACTTTGTAGTAATTAATGGTTTTTGAATGATTTAAAAAGTTTTAAATTGGCTTGAATTTTATGGATGTTACAGTATAAAACTAAGCAGATTAATAGACCAAAAGTACATTACCAAAATATGTATAAGAATTTAACCAAAATACACATTTAATTAACTGCATCAGTAGAACCAAAATACATTACCAAATTAAGCATAAATGTGTCATTCCACCATACATAAGCAAATCATCAGACCATACCTAAGAGTCTAAACATAACAACCAAAATACAATCAAAGTGTCATTGCACCACACATATAAGTTTAAGATAACAACCAAGTTTTGAACAACATATAACCAAAATCACATAAAAACACCTACATGAAACCATACCCATGAAGCCATACCAACTTCATCAAAGCTTACTTCTTGGACTGATTCCCACCTTGCCCTTTACATGTCATAGATTTGTGTCCCTTATTCTTGCATTTGCTACATGTAACACTAATATGTTTCCTTGATAGCTTTTGCACTCCATTATTTGTTGGTCCATAGGATATTTCTTGTTGTGTACCCTTGACTCCATTACCTTGACTTCCCCTCTTCTTTTTGCTCAACCTTTCACCCTCACATTGTCTTCTTTTTTTCTTAGGCCTTCCCACCTGAGTGTGATGTGGGGGAGGAACTAGCTTTGTTAGACAATCACCTTTGGGCCACATGATTCTCCCATTAATTGGCTCCACCTTAAATGAATATGCTTTTCGTCATGTCTCTAACCAATAGACCTTGTGCACCCATTTGAAGTACCTGGATTGTAGCATCATTGATCAATAGTTGTAGCATCCTAAACACCAGTAATCTCATCCCCAACAGTATCCATAGCACATGTTGTAGCATCCTGATCAACACTCTTTTCCTTTAATTCACCAATATCATCTAAATTAAGCCTCTTGCTACAAGAACCTTCACCTGATTTGGAGTTCCCAACTCTATCCCTTATATACTCTGGTGAGAAAGCATCAATTTTACTCCCAAAAAGTATCAAAGACATGTAATCACCAATATGCTCATCATTAACATGGTTCATATTTCTCAAATGAGATTCCACATGAACTTCAGCCTCTTGATCATCATTTTCAGGTAATTCCTCAATCACAACAGTATCCTTTGCATTTGGAGACATGAAGTAAGTAAATAAATTTGTCTTCCCATGTTCTGTGTACACCTTAATCAACTTGTTATGTGGAATGTATTTAGATAGATTGATAAAATCATGATCATTCCCTAAAGCTCTAACGCCAAATTGAAAGTCGCCATTTGTTATCTTTAAATTGTAGTATATCACTGGGGAGTCTGAGACATCAACTACTTCAGTCATCCTTGGGTCTGGGTAACCTAGGTGAAGCATTATGGCATCAAGTTCATGTACAAAGAACTCATCTTTGTCCACATAATCAATATAACACACTGCACCTCTAATATACTCTACATCAGGTAATTTAGTAAACTTCCCACCGTGATGTAGCTTAATACTAAACCATGTGGGTGCACCCGCTACAACTTCAAAATTTTGCATGAATACATAGTCAAAATTATGCGTTTTTTAGTCTGAAAATCAAGGGGAAAATGCTTTACAGGAGGTTAAAGAAAACAGAGCAACTTACCATACATGGACGAGACGTCTAAAACTTTGTTTTTTGGTCTAACCTGCCACATTACATACACCATTTCGACTATAACGTATGTAATCACCTTCTGTTTGTTGCTTCGATTAGGGTTTTTGGATAAGAAAAGAGGGTTTTTGCAGTTTCTAATGGAGCAGAAGGAAGAGTGAGGGAGGTGAGGAGTTGACGTGTCTTTGGGATCGTAAATGAGGGGGTAAAGGATTATAGTATTCGTTGACATTTCATATGCAAAAATGGTCCCTAAAACTTGAAAAGACGAAAATGCCCTCACGTGGGAGGCACATGATGGGGTTAACATCAACAATTTAACGAAGGTTAAGTTGGGGGACCATTTCCACATACAAACCAGGACAAAAGGACCATGAACCCTAAAAAGTCGAGGTTTGGACCAAACCTCGGAAAATATACATACCATAGGGGCCATTTTTGCAATTTTGTCTACTTTTTTTTTCTATTATTGTAAAAAATCTAATGTTGAACATGTTGGTTTTAAACTTAAAAAAAAAAACTTGTAAATGAAAAGAGTAAATGGCATGGCTATAGAGCATAGTTGTGAAAACTGCAAAGTGTTTGTCTTCGAACATTTTTTTTTCAACAAATAGTACCAATCTGTTGTCAAAGCATGTGGTCTAAGAATTGGTCTAAATCTTGGCCTAGTGAAATACTTTTGTTTAAAATGTTTATTTTATTAATGGATCGAGACTTTCATATTCCACCCAAGTCTCCAGATCTAAACTCAAAAATATAACACAATCATTAGAGTAGAAAATTAGCAATGAAATGAAACACAAGGCAGAGAAGAATGAGAAGCATGAACGCGAGAATTCTAATGGAGAAAACAACTATACTTGTACTTTTACTTGTTTCACTCCACAAACAGAAAATCTACACTGCTGAATTTGACTTGATTTCAGATTCAAGGTTTTTGACAGAAGCAGACACGTTGGTCTCACCGGCCGGAATTTTTGAACTTGGGTTTTTCAGGCCAGGAAGCTCTGAGAACAAATATGTTGGTATTTGGTACAAGAAAATCTCCGTTCAAACAGTGGTTTGGGTCGCCAACAGAGACTTCCCACTCCCTGGTGCATCATCCGGCATACTGAAGATCATCTCTCCAGGAAATCTTGTCCTCATTAACGACACTAATGATGTAGTATGGTCATCCAATACAACGTCATCAGTCAACGTAATTGCACAGCTTGACGACACCGGAAATCTAATTGTCAAAGAAGGAATCCAGGAGAAGATTCTCTGGCAGAGTTTTGATTATCCAACTGATACACTTCTACCTGGCATGAAGTTAGGGAGAAGTTTCTTGACTGGTAAGGAATGGCACCTTTCTTCATGGAAGAGTAATCAAGATCCAGCACCAGGTGAATTCACATGGAGCACGGACACAAATGGCTTTCTACAGATCCTACTTAAACAAGGTATATCAATCAAGTTCCGGATTGGACCATGGAATGGTATATGGTTTAGTGGGGGCTCTGGGGTCAACCGGAACATCATTAATGCAGAAATGGTTATTAATGGAACCGAGGTGGTTTACAGTTATCTTCTTCGCAATAGTTCTGTAGTCTCAAGGCTTGTCTTGAGTTCATCTGGCCAGATAGAACGTTGGGTCTGGGTGGCTAATGGTAAGAAATGGCAGCTTTTCTTTCAGTTACAAAGAGATTTCTGTGATGGATACAACATCTGTTACGCTTATGGAACCTGCAGTGTTTTAACCTCACAAAGATGTGGTTGTTTAGATGAGACAAGACTCGTGCCCAGAAACCAAAAGGCATGGGAGATAGCAGATTGGTCGGGTGGTTGTGTGAGGCGAACACCATTGGATTGCAGAACAGATGGGTTTATCAAGTATTCTCATGTGAAATTACCAGACTCACGGACTTCATGGTATAACATGACCATGAGCAGAAATGAATGTAAAGAAAAATGCTTGAAGAATTGTAGTTGTATGGCCTATTCAGATACAGACATCAGAGGTGAAGGAAGTGGCTGCTTGCTTTGGTTCAATGATCTTATGGACATAAGAGTCTTCTCTCAGAGCGATAACGGGCAGGATATTTTTGTAAGAATGGCTTCCTCAGAATTAGGTATTCATCTATGTACACAAACATAATTTGAATAGTTTCTCAAATGCATGTTATATCTAACCATGTAAAATTACTTAATTAATTCATGATTATTACTGCCACTCAATCAGTACACGAGGAGGAGAGAGCAAACCTCAAGATCATCTTACCAGTAATTTTTCTGGGGGTTCTTCTGATAGGCTTGAGCTCTACATGGTTCCATTACGCATGTAGAAAAAGGCATGATCAACAACTGAGGGAAGGTAAGAAAAATTCATGATTTTAACTGTAAATTGGTTGTAGCCTAATAGAAAGAAGAGTAATATGAAATCTTGAAGGATATTCTTGTATTTTCAATGCACAGGGGAATTCTTTGATGTTGGTCAAAGCCAGAGAGATGCAATGGAGCTACCATTGTTTAGCTTTTCTACATTAGCTAGAGCTACTGCTAGTTTTTCACCGGATAATAAAATTGGAGAAGGTGGATTTGGATCAGTTTATAAGGTAATGATAATACTCAAAGTTGTGTACTGAGAAAGAGACATGGAAGCAATTCATCTTCACTGTTTATATTGTTTTTCATATTGCCAATTATGATCTCTAGGGTGTGTTAGAAGAAGGACTGGAGATTGCAGTTAAGCGTCTATCTACGACTTCAAGCCAAGGACTTGATGAGTTTAAGAATGAAGTTATTTGCATTTCAAAACTTCAGCACCGAAATCTTGTTAAACTCCTCGGATGTAGCATACAGGGAGATGAAAAGTTGTTGATCTATGAGAACATACCAAACAGAAGCTTGGACTTGTGTTTATTTGGTCAGAATCACATAATTGCCATTAATTTAACGTTTAGGAACTAAGCATTCTCCAGAACTGAATATGACTACATCTTCATGTTGGCCAGATTAGACACGCAGCACCCAACTTGATTGGACAGCCCGTTTTAACATTATCAAAGGAATTGCTCGAGGACTTCTTTATCTGCATCAAGATTCACGATTAAGAATCATCCACAGAGATCTTAAAGCTAGCAATGTTTTACTTGATAAAGACATGAACCCTAAGATATCAGACTTTGGGATGGCTAGAAGCTTTGGAGGAAACGAGAGTCAAGCAAACACACAGAGAGTTGTTGGTACATAGTAAGCTAGATAATCCAATTGTATATATATATATTCTACTTCTCTTGAGTTCATTTATTTTATTATGTGCAGTGGTTACATGTCCCCGGAGTATGCATTAGATGGTGTTTTCTCATTCAAATCCGATGTATTTAGCTTCGGTGTTTTAGTGCTAGAGATAATGAGTGGGAAGAGAAACAGGGGATTCATTCATTCTGAACATGACAATAACCTCCTTGGACATGTAAGTTTATCGGCCACAAACTACTCCTTTGATTTATAAAAATATATCCTCCAATTACTTTTACATTAATTTTATTAAGGCATGGAGAATGCATAACGAAGGCAGGTCAATGGAACTCATTGATACATCTTTAAGCCAATCAAGCAATTCGTCGGAAGTTATACGATCAATTATAGTGGGGTTGTTATGTGTTCAACAAAGCCCAAAAGACAGGCCAAACATGTCATCTGTTGTTTTAATGTTGGGCAACGAGGGTATACTGCAGAAACCTAAGCAGCCAGGTTTTTTCATAGAAAGGATCTTACATGGTGCTGATATTTCTTCAAGCAGTTACCCAATGAGTTCAACCAACGATTTAACTATTACAGAGGTAGCTGCTCGATAGAAAGAACATACATAGCTTCAACCTCAAGTCTTGTTCTTTTTATTTTCGTTAGCACCTTCAAATATACGGCTATGTATTATCTTTGTTTCAAAACATATCTACCACAATGGTTTAGTGTCAAAATGATAGTTTAATTATGCATTTTTTGGCAAAAAAAAAAAGTTAACTTGAAGCCTACATTTGAGCTTAATAAGTTTGCATTCCCGATATCCGATTTGCGAGTGCGATATGTCAACGGAAAGAAAAAAAAAAGTGTTAATCGGAGTTAAAACAAATTCTTTGTGGTAGTGTCAAAATGGTACTTTATGCTTCTTTTGCTACTTATTTTTAACATGAAGCCTACTACTTTGGAGCTTAATAAGTATGCATTCCCAATATCTGAAGTGGTCTATATCAATGGAAAAAACTAAACAACAAATTATAACAAAAAAAATTAAAATAAATAAAAAAAATAAAAAAACTTGTTATTTGGAGTTAAAACGAATAACTTGTAGTAATGTTAAAATGGCACTCTATGTGTTTTTTTGGATTTTTTTTTACATGAAGCCTACTTTAGAGCTTAATTTGTAGTATTTAAGAAACACTATGATAAAATCAATTATATTAGACATTAAATATAAGGTTGTTTAAATGAAATGTAGGATATACACTTTCGTTCTGTGAACCGCTCCTAGAAGCCCCTCTATTATTCATTGTCCCGAGTATTTCTTGTGTGCTGTGCTCCGTTCTCGGGAGGACATCCCGAACAATTGTTTCTCATAGGTCCTACGTGGCCGCATGTATAACACTATTTTCTTATTGGACGCTCACCTTAGGATAAAATACGGTATGTGTTTATGGACCTCCCGTGTCGGGCTGATATTTGTCTATTATTATTATTTTCATGTTGTTCTATCATAAACATCATATCAAATAACAGTGTGGTAACTTGGGGTATATTTTCTTGCTCTGGCTGATCGTACACATCACATCATTCCTTGGATACTTTTGAAAACAACTTTGAAAACTGTTTTAAACTTTTGCAGTTCCTTAGTTTGAGTCTGGATTCACACGAATGCTCATCCAATTCTCTCAAACCAAAGCTCTGATACCAACTTGTAACATCTTAAATATCATAAAATTTTAAAATTTTAAAAAACAACCCATTTCAACCATAAAGTGCTACAAAACCATTGTTTCAAAAGTATAAACATAATCAGAGTTTTTCCTAAGATCCAATATCATAAAAACATGAAGATGGGCATGATCACACCTTCGTTTTCTCGCGATCATCAGAAGTACCTGAAACAATAAACTAAAACTGTAAGCCAAAGTTTAATGAGTTCCCCCAATGTACTACCACGCAACACATACCATATACAATTCAACATGCTGGGTCCACAACCTCCCAGTTGGATTACCCTGGCCCACAACCTCCCGGTTGGATTGCCCTGCATATCACGTACTGGGTTCACAAACTCCCGGTTGGATTACCCTCACCCACAACCTCCAAGTTGGATTACCCTCACCCACAACCTCTCCGTTGGATTGCCCTGGTTTGTTGATGTTGGATAAAATGTCTAAGTCCACAACTATATTTGGTATGTACTTGACCCGATTTAGCATGGTCCATTTGGGTTGCACTTAACTGGAACAATTTGGACTTTGAGAAGAAGATATGTATGATTTATTAATATATTATTAGTTATAATATATTAATATGAAATCATATTATTTAATTGGTATTGATCAATAATTAATCTGGAATTAATTTTGTGCTCAAAAGAGACTAATTAAATATATAGGGATTGATTTTGTAAATCATTCATTCTTATAATGTGGGCTAGTGATCCATGATTCCTTATGTTGGGCTTAATCCATGTGGTGACCCATCAATGCTCCATGGAGGTTAAAACCCATGGATCATGAGGAATGTGGAAAGTCATGAGTTACATGGTGTAACCCTAATGTGCACACTATATAATGAGCCATTTGGTTCAAGAAAATCCCACCCTAGTGTATTGACAAGGAGAGGCTGATTTTTGTGAGCATTTTAGTTCTCTTCCAAGTTTCCAAAGTGTTGGTGGTGATTTGTGATTCCACTTGAGGCATTCACATTATTGGTGCTAAGCTCTTAAACCTCCAAACAATTAGCCACAATATAAGGTATTTTTCCTAACTTGTTTTATTCACTATGTATCGAAGTTTTGTATGCTAGTTAGGGTAATACCTTGGAAACTTCAAGTTTGCAAGTATAATAGTGAAAACATAGATCCAAAGTATTTAGGGTTGCATGAACACCTTAGGAGTGTTAGTATGCTTAAAACTCATCAGTGGTATCAGAGCCTAGGCTTGTTTTCAATTATACTTGATGCTATTTGCTGAAAAAGTCGATTTTTTGCTCACTGTTTAGTGAACTCGCCGAGTCCATTTGGGGGACTCGACGAGTCCATGTTAAAATTCATCCAACTCGGCGAGTTCATTCATACACTCGACGAGTTGGAGACCCTGAGTGCAGAATTTCGAGTTTCAATGCTGGAATTGGACTAGGATCATTACCCTAAACTGTTTTTAGACTTTTAAACCTGTTTTTGATGTGGTAATGATTGCGCTTATCCAATTTCAAAGATAATTGTCAATGTTTTAAGTTTTATATTAAGTTTATATGATTCTTGAAAATTGTTGTTATGAATTATGCATGCTTATGAGTATTCTTAGATCATAGAAATTATTTGTGACAACCCGAAACTTTTCTCGTTATCCTTACCCAGTTTCCGATAATAAAATTTGGGTTTTTATTTAACTCCGTCAAATTTCTTAATTTGGGAAAGACCTTAAGTTTTAAATAAATAATATGTATTTTATACGATTCGGAATAAACCGGGAATCACGCGAAAACATGAAACTTTCTCGAAAATCACCGAGTTCACGGTTAGGACGAGTTTACAACCGTAAACTCGTGTAGACCGTAAACCCGTTTATGGTCAGGTGGACCCCCCCCCTTTGACCGTGAACTCTACCCTATATATATAGTATTTGGCCTTCATTTCACACTTTAAACATTTCAAACGCTTTCTCTCTCTACTCTCTCTACCTTCATCGAGTTTCCTCCAAGATCTACAAGTTATCTTCAAGAATCCTGAAGAACACCGTAGTGTTTTGGACCGAAAACACCTTTCTTTGCCTTCAAATCGTAAGTATCATCCTCTTATACTTATATCTAGTTAGGATTCTTGAGTTTTGCCTTGAAATCGTCACTTTTCCATGGACAAAAGGTGTTTACGGTCTAGTGTATCTCCTTAGACCGTACACCCTTCAATGATCGTATATTCATGGGCCGTCAGCCTGTTCAACTCCCGGTAATCAATGCACATCCGGTGCGAACCATCCTTTTTCTTGACAAAAAGGATTGGTGCTCCCCACGGCTAGCTACTCGGCCGGATAAATTCCTTTCCCAACAACTCCTGAAGCTACGAGAATAACTCATGCATCTCTGGTGGGGCAAGGCGATAGGGCGCCTTGGCGATCGGTGCCGCCCCCGGAAGTAAATCAATACGAAACTCTACCTGCCTCTTGGGAGGCACACCTGGTAACTCCTTGGGGAAAGCGTCCGGAAACTCACTAACCACCGGAAGCTCAACGACAGTACTCGGTCTCTTTGTAACATCCCGCGTATCTGACACGTACACCAGAAAACCCATGCAACCCTGCTGCAAGCTCTGCCTCGCTCGAGCAGCCGAACAAAATGCTGACCCAGATCAGGTACCCTCGCCGAATACCGTAAGTACTCCCCCACTAGGGTTCCGGATGGTCACTAATTGACGCTCACTGTCGATCATAGCCTCGAATCGGCTCAACCAGTCCATGCCCACGATGAAACAAAGATCCCCCATCGCGATAGGTACCAAAGCCATAGGAAACTCGACTCCAAAAATCTCAAGCACACATCCCCGGATCACATCAGTCGCAAAAAAAGCATGCTCATCAGCTATGGAGACTCTTAAAGGTCAACTCAACGCCTCATGTCGGATACTGATATGACGACTAAATGCTAGCGATACGAAGGATCGACTCGCACCCGAGTCAAACAACACCAAAGCAGGTACAGAAGTCACAAGAAAAGTACCTAAAAATATCACAAATAAGCACCATATGTAAACAAAAGAATAAGCAAAAGATCACATACAAGCCACAACATCAGGTGTTGCGCGGACGTCCTCCGCTATTAACTGGAAGGCTCTACCGCGAACCTTCGGTGCCTCGGCCTTCACAGGCCGACTCTCTGTAGCTCGAGTAGAAGAAGGCGTAGATCCCTGCGATGATCACTGAAGTAACTGCGGGCACTCGGCCTTCTTATGGCCAGTCTGGTTACAATGGAAGCAAACCGAAAATCCCATGGGGCAATCCCTCGCGATATGCCCTCCTTCCCGCACTTGTAACATACACCTGCTCTGCACACCCCATCATGACTCTTGCCGCACTTCCCACAAGTGTGGCCCTTCTGACCTCCCGGTCTCGAATCAGGGGGCTTTGACCGCTTGGCTGCCGGCTGAGACTATGTCGGCCACCTATCCCTCCTCTGAGACTCCACCTCCTCCCTCGCCTGAGTCTCCAACTCAATCTCCCTATTCCGAGCATTTTCCTGGAGCTCGACAAATGTCTGGTATGTCGAGTTCGCCACGAACTCACAATTGTCTCTCCTCAGTATGCTTAGATAATGGCTCATGCGTGCCTACTCAGAAGACACGTGCTCAGGGAAAAACAACACCCTCTCGTGGAACATCCTCGTGATCACCATCACAGACTCGGTCCCCTTCTTGAGGGACAAGAACTCTTGGGCCAACCGTTCCCTCTCCACCGGGGGAATGTATTCGTCTCGAAACATAGCGGTGAACCTCTCCCAAGTCACCGCGGTCAGCTCTGCAGTAGTAAAATCAGCCGTCACAAACTTCCACCAGTCCTTCGCTCCCAAGCGAAGCTGGTTCAGCGCGAACCATACCCTCAGATGCTCCGGACAAGAACATGTGTAGAAGCAGCCCTCAATCTCAGAGATCCATCTCATAGCCGCAATCGGATCCTGAGTCCCATCAACAACGAGTCACCTCCCCGTGTTCCTGAGTCCCTCAATCTCAGAGATCCATCTCATAGTCC